AGATACAGTTATCATCTTAGGCTAATGTTTTCAGAAGTTATGCTGTCACTTTAAGCTAAAGTGATTTTAAGTTAAAACAAAGTCACTTTAATTATAAACTCTTTGTGTATTTAAAAATCTTAAGGAATGGTATGTGATATTGTGCCTAAAGAGTCTGGGGTTTGAATTAACAGGATGTAGAGCCTTTGGGCAAAGAATACCCATCCAATAAATGCAGAATGCATCCTGAATAATTTAAGATTGAGGGGAAAAATTAACTTTAGAGTGACACCGTCTTACCTCAGATATTGACCCATCACACAACTTCCAGAGGGGCACTTGACAGTGTATGAAAGATCAGGCATCCCGAGAACATGGCCCAACTCATGTGACATCACACCTACAAGAGCCACATTATTCTTTCTTTTAGCCTGAAAAAGAAAGAAAGAAAGAAAGATCTGTTACTTTCTACTTTAATTAGTTATTTCTCAGTTGTTGTCAATATTCATCACTTAAAAAGAATATCCTGAGAGCTGGAAAAGAATGAGTCATGAAGCTCCGCCCCCACCTTTGCTCAGTGCCCAAGGCTGAATGAACTTGGGAAATGGTTGGATCCTATGAATCTGGTCGGAGTCAGTACTCGATAAGTGCTTGTTGAACTAACAGACACTAAGTTCTTAGTAATCAATTATTAAAGCGATTACATTGTCCACAGAAAGTCCTAAGAGGTATCCTAATGAGGACTCAAAGTCCTATAACAACTGTCACCATGGTGATACCTTAGGAGCCCTGCATGGTCCTTTGCTCCCTGGATGTCCTCTTTTGGTCACAGATACCAAAAGACTAATTTAGAGTAGTCTCAGGCCACAGAGTGCACCTGGCTCCCATCTCCATCTCGACATTCCTGCTGTATTCCTTAATACCAACCCGAGTGTGACGCCCCCCAGCAGGGCTGATGTTTCACAGTCCAGAGGATCTGCAGCACAATATCTGCCAGTGGTTTCCTGTCCACATTTATTGATTGGTTCAGCAAGTGTTCACTATGCCCACTCCGAGCAAAGCATTCTACCCATCTTCCCAGAGATGCAGAACCACAGGGAACCTTAGTGTAAGTTCACAAACCTCAATAACAGCGACCGAAGACGCGGAGCACAGGGAATTGGAGGCGGCCATTCCCACTCGGCCATTATTGAAGCCAATTCCACTGTGTGAAAGGCACAGAAACACTGTCACAGCCTGTCTTTGGAACCACTAGCTTTTCCCACTGCTGTTCTACATTTCCCTGGCTGCCTAGCCTTTTCATGGGCCTCAGCGCAGCCTGTACTATCCCACAGCAGTATCATGGCCACGTTGATTATCTCCCCTCCTAGAGCCCACCACATAGAGTGCACAGGGCCTCCGAAATCCCGCAGGTGAATTGCTAATGGCAGGACATCAGGGCTTCTCACGACCGATCAGGGAAATCTGACTGAGCACACGTCTCTGCCAAGGCTCTCACTCTGCCCACGTGCACCTGCCCTGGCCAGAACGTGCCCACCTGAGGAGCTGCGCATGGTCGTGGATCTTCCTCTTGCCCAGGTTAGAACGATGCCAACTCATGAAGTTCTTGAAGGTTTCGCCAATGTTGGGGACCACCTTTATCTTATCACTATCTGACCAGATCTCCATACCCACCAAGGCCACACGAACATGGACAGTTTTATAAATCTGTGGACACAACGGTTCAGATTCCTTTAGGGTTTTAGAACTTTTGCTGACCACAAATGATAGATAAATAGATGCACCATAATTGACAAGTTTCCATTTTAAAAAGAGAAACACCAGAGGTGGCCTTTGCTGTAGCATGTGTGATTTTACCTTGAGGTTAGTGTTTGCTTTGCTAAAATGTCCCCAGAACTGATGCCCATAAAGCACTGTGACTCTCTTGACTGCTTATATGAAGTGGCAGGAGCCCCAGGCCCACGTGTGGAAGCACAGGCTCACACGCCAGATGTCTTACCACATTGAGGAGGTTCATCACATCAAACAGAAAGCTTCTCATCACAGTTAGATTCCCCCGGTACATCTTATACTGCAAAATGCAAAGCACAGAGTACAATTAAAAAGGAAATTAAAGTGAAGTGGCTGA